AACTTTATATATATTTTAGTCTGTTGCAGAGGTAGTTTCTTGAATTTTGTCTAGGAATTTTTTTTTTTGAATATTATTTTTAAAAGAGTTTATGTCAAATCTTCAAAAAGCTAAGTGTCTAGGTTCTTGTTTTAGACTTAAAACACATTAACTAATAGATAATCTAAATTTTCAAATCTTGTTTTTATTTCTAAATTTAAATGGCTGTAGTTATTATTTATAAAATATAATCTAGTCAAGTAGTTATTATTTGATTGTTATGTATTTTTTGGTAAAAAGTATAAAAAGAATTTTGAGATATAAAAGATGCAGAATCTATGAAATTTTTTACAATGTTTTTAAGAAGTAACCTTAAAAGATCATTTTGAGCATTTGCTTAACTTATTCTGTTAACTTCAGGGTCTAGATTTGTGTTTAGATTTTCTGCTAAAATGTTAATTATATTGTCTTTTTTTTTAATTGTCCAATTGTCAAAAAATGAGGTTCTATCCAAAATGTTTAGTAGAGTATAAATATTAATTATATAAAAAGAGAATTTCTTGAAAATAAAAAAAATAAAAATTATTCTGTCTTCTTGTGATCTCTTAGTGTCTTTAAATTTTATTGCTTTGTTTTTTGCTAGAATTGCAATTCTGCCTGTTTAGACTAAATCAAAAAACTATTGATTTTTTAAGAATTATTAAGTTGCATTATTAAATTTGTTCATTTTTTGTAGAAAAATAATATCTAGTTTACAAGATTTTAAAAGTGTCAAAGTTCTGAGCCATTTGTCTATATTGTTTAATTTTTTAATATTTAGAGTAGCTATCTTGATTAATGTATTGTTCATAATAAAATTAATAAGTTTTGAAGCCACTTTATGCTTTTTGTTCTAGTTTATTTTGTTGGTTTTCTTTGTTAAAAGTCTTATAAGGCTTTGATTTTTTGTGCTTTTTTTTTTATATACAACTAGAGTAAAAGGCATATTTCCTGTATTTTCTTGATATTTTTTTTTAAAAAATATTAAGATAAGTACTTGCAACCCAGGATTTTATTAATAATATATTTGGTTAATGGTTATATTACAACTACAGAAGGCAATCATAAAAAGAGTATATAACTAGCTACTTGTACAACTTTAGTTATTGTCTAATTTAAGTAGTCTGCCTAAAGGTTTTATACTAGCTGTCATACCTGGAACCTGCTTGTAAGTTCTTTATTTAAACATTCTAGTTCCTGTATTCACTTACCTACCTCTGTCTACTAATAATCCCAGCTTATGCTAGTGAAAATATGCTATAGCTACTAAGTCTTTAAAGCAGTTCACTTATATAAAAAACTTTTGATCTTGTACTAAATTTTTTAAAATCTTCTATATTCTATTTTTATAGCTGACTTGGTATTACTATAGCTAAGACCAACACTTACAGTTAGGGTATACTATTAAACTACTATGTTCTTGTAGAGTTCACTCCAACCTCAGTACTAATTTTACAATATTCTAAAAAGACAGATCATAATTATATATTTCTGGTTTACATGTTTTCTAGTATGTAAACTTTTTCTTTAGAATAGATCCTAGTGGCCTAGTTGGTTCTTTTTAAAGGCTGGCTCTTTGTCTGGTTTTACAAGTTCTAGTTTTATTTTATAGGTCTAGTCTTTATAGTAGCATTATCAAAGATTTAGCTACCTCTCTACTTGGGTCTTTCAAATAGAATTTTGTCTTTCTATTTGGTTTCTGTAATTTATATAGCCTAAGAACTTATCATAGATTCATATCATTTGGTACCAGTTTGTGTTTCTTTGTACAATGTTGTACAATTGTCTAGACCTTTCAGTCATGTTAGTATAATACAGATTACAGATATCTAATTCTAATTAATTACAAAAAACAGTTAACTGTAATACAGAAAGAATTGCAAAATTTTGCTATTACTAAAATTTGAACTCTAAACTTGTCACTTAAAGGTTGACAACCTATTATTTCACTAAATTGTTATATTCTATTTTCATAATATTTAGTTTGAAGACTTCAAAAACCTGTAATTATTTCTTCTAGAATTATATTTTCTGTAAAGTTATCTTTTTTTTTTTTTGAAAGATTTTTGTGTTAATAATTATATTATTTTTTTGCATTTCTTTTTTTAAAAAAATTGGTTGTTCTTGAAAGCATTCTGATTTTATATTAGTATTTTGTACTGTTTTTTGTACTAAAGAAGTTTTCTCAGTGAAGTTCATAATATATTCAAATAAGTTTTTACTAAAAATTTCAATTTAAGCCTTTTTGTTTTTAAATTCTTAATAATGTTTTCTTAGTTCTTTTGTTTCTTAAAACTATATACAGTTTTTTTTAATATAACCTATTTGATTACAGAAATAACATACTTTTAAGCTTCTTTCTATTCAGTAGTTACTCTGTTGTTCTTTATGTAGATAAAGTAAAAAATTCTTTTTTTAAGTTCTAGGTCATCTGTTTTATTAAAAATAACTATTTATTGGTTTGTCAGATATGATATATCTTCAATAAGCAATACTTTAATAGAGATAATCTTTTTGAACTCTTGAAAGACCTCTTTGACCTAATTAAAAATATGTTCTTTAACATCTAGAACACATTTTTGATCTTAACTAGCAGAAAGAATTTGTATACATCTGTAAGAATATATCTGTAATATATTTTTCTAAAGATTTTAACTTCATTAGTTGCATAATGCATTAGTTGATTTTGGTTTGAAAATACAATTATAAGATGGGTTTTAAGCTTTTTTTAAAATGTTGCTTAGCTGCAATTATGTCTTCTCTCATGTTTTTATATAAAAAAATTATAATTTCATTAAGAAAGCTGTAAAGATCTGAGATTTCAACAATCAATACATTGTTATTTTTGAATCTAATTTGATTTCTAGAAAAAAATATAACAAAGGTTGATTTTTCTTATTTCAACTTGGCTGACAAGCTTATGTCTTGTTTAGTGATTGATGCATAACTTTGCATAACTTTGTGTGCTGATTGATTATTAAAAATGTTGCTATTGTCATGTTTTTCATTTAATATATAACAATTTCTGTTGTTGTTTTTTTTTTATTGTTTATTTTCTTCATAATATTGTACATGTTTTCTAAAGCCCAAGATTTGTTTTTATTTTGATTAATATTCTTTAGCCAGTTTCTTTATTTTAAATTACTACTACTGAAATTAAATCATTTTTTATTACTGTTATCTTTTCTTAAACTGTGGTCATATTATTAATTTTTATTTTATTTTCTTTTTCTATAAATAAGTTGTTAGTTTTTTTGTTTTTTTTATCAAGTTTTCTTATTTTAAAAATATTTTTAGTTATTAAAAGCTTTACTAATTAAAAAAGCTTTCTTTTTCTTAATACAAAGGTTTTAGCTCTTAATAGTATCTTATTTTTAAAGTTTAGGTTTCTGTTTGATAATTTTATAATTATGCTTTCTATTTGTCTTTTCTAATTAATAATAAACAGAAAAAAGTTTTTTTACATGCATATATTATAATTATTATAATATAACTAAACAAAAAAAATAGTAATATATATATAACATTAAATTAACTTAGTATAACAGATTTATAAAAATATATAAATTATTATAGCAATAAAATATTATATTTTAAGAACCAAAATATAATACTAGTAATAACTAAATAAAAATAAAAGCTAATATACAACAATAAAATAATAATATAATACTAAAACTGACAATAATACAGATAATATATAGCCAAATAGTTCAAAAAACTTAACACAATTAAATAATATACAAAACATAAAACAAATAACTATATAAAAAAATAGATATAATAAATTAATAACAGACTAAAAAAAATATATATTAAGCATTTGACAAAACCTTATAAAATTATAATAAAATAGTAATTGTATTTAAAAATAAGAAAAAAATCCAAAAATTCATTAAATATAAGATACAAACTAAGCCTATAAACTATGCACTATATTTAGTAATTAAAGCTAAATTTAGATATAAGGATATTTATCTTTTTTTTATCTTTACTAAAGTAAAAAAATTAATCTTAGAAGTAAAGTAACTTAGTAAATTAGATAAGTTGTTAACCTTCTAAGTGATAAGTTATAAGTTCAAAACTTACCAATAATGAAAATTTAAATAATCAATTATATAATACTTAACTTGTATTATGGCAATAGTATTTTGTCAATTAGTTGAAATAAAGTATCTGTAACTATAATTATACTAGTATAACTGACTAATTATGAGATATCTGTATAATCTTAATTATATAAAGAGATGCAAACAGATATTAGGCAGCACAAATTCAAAATAAGTTCTTGACTAAGAAAATAAATACTAATAAGAAGGAATCAGACATGCAAGAACCTTTAGATAAGAGGTACTACCAACTAGACTGCTAGATTAAATTAAAAAAAAATATCAGACAAAACTTGCTATATCAAAAACAGATTATAGTTTTTTTAAACTATCTGAATTGAGAATTTAAAAACAAAGCAGAAGTGTACTAAAATACTAAGAATATGCTATAAAATAAACACTAAAATACAGATGAACTTTGCAAAAAAATAGTTCTATTAAGATTTGTAGAATGGTTAGGTAACTTAATAAGAAAGCCTTTTGTATTTTACTATTAGTAACAAGTATTGCTACAGTCTAGGTATTAGTACAAAAAGAAATAATATCAAACCTAAATGATCTTTAATAAGAGGCAGCAACAGAGTCAATTAGTTTTAAAATAAAATAATTAAAGATATACAAATACTAATTAGATAAGTCAAAAAGTTTAAATAGAACACTCACAAGCAAAGATTAAATATAGCAGATAATGGATAATCTTAAAGTAGAACCTTTAAATAGACAATAACTAAAGTTGTACATATAATTAGCTATACTTTTACAAACTATATATGTACTTAGAATATCACTAATTAATAAAAATTGCCAGTTTGATTGAATAATTAACTGCTCATTAACAATAAAAAAAAAATCAATTTTATAATATTAAAAAGTCTACAAATTTTTTTTTAAAAAACCCTCAAAAAATTCAAATTAACTAACAAAATAACAATTATAAATAAACAAACAAAATATAATCTACTAAAAACTATAACAAAAAATTATAATTAATTATCTAACTAAAAGTTCTATAAAATAACAACAAAAAAATATATTATCTTATTAAATACTACAAAAAATTTAACAAAAAACAAAACTATAAAAAACAATATAAATTTATATAATATAATACAAAAAGCAACTACAGTACACCTATAATAACTACTAATGATTCTAACCAAATTTCTAAAAACATAATTCAAATACTTCTTTTTAATTTACCTATACAACCTTCCTTTCGATTTACCTATACAACAAAGAGCATATACTAATTTTTATTGTAAAATTTTAATACTTGAATTAGTTAATTTTATAATTGTATTATTATGTCTAAGATCCACAAAAGTTAATGCAATATTCTTGCAAAATGCACTTGCTAATGCTTCTCCTCCTTCTGATCCAAGATTATTATTATGAAGATTTAAAGAAATCAGCGTAATGTTTTTACAAAGTGCATCTGCTAACGCTTTTCCTCCTTCAGATCCAAGTTTATTTTCACTAAGATCCAAAAAAGTCAATGTGTTGTTCTTACAAAGTGAATACGCTAATGCTTTTCCTCCTTCTGATCCCAGAATATTACAATGAAGATTCAAAGAAGTCAGCGTGGTATTCTTGCAAAGCGCATCTGCTAATGCTATTCCTCCTTTCGGTCCAAGTTTGTTTTCCCCAAGATCCAAAGAAATCAATGTAGTATTGTTGCAAAGAGCATCTGCTAATACTTTTCCACCATCTGATTCAAGGTTATTATTATAAAGATTTAAGGAGGTTAGCGTAGTGTTCTTGCAAAGTGCATCTGCTAATGCTTTTCCCCCATCTAATCCAAGATTATTATTATAAAGATTTAAAGAAGTTAATGAAGTGTTCTTGCAAAGTGCATCTGCTAATGCTTTTCCTCCGTGTGACCCAAGTCTATTATATCGAAGATTCAATTCTTTCAGCGTATTGTTTTTGCAAAGTGCATCCGCTAATTTTTTCCCTCCTTCTGGACCAAGTTTTTTATCGCAGAGATTTAAAGAAGTCAGTATAGTATCCTTACAAAGTACCTCCATTAACTCATTTATATTTTTTGAATTAAGATTCCTGCGAGAAAAATCCCAGCTTGAAGCATTTTTTTGATCTTCAGTACTATGCTTCATCACTTCTTTTCTCTTATCCTTAAGAACGTTGTCATCTTGCACTGAGAGATTTTGATGCATCGCGCCAAGTGGATTAGTGTCAAAAAGTGGTGCAGATGGCTCTATTTCATATAAATTTACATGTGCCTTTATATCTTTATTTAAAGATGATTCATCATTTTCCTGCGCTGATTTGGATGTATCGCATCAGGTAGGTTAATGGAAGGAAATAATATAGATATTTTAAATAAATTTACTTTGCGTTCATACCTTGATTTAAGTATGTTTCATGATTTTCAATTAATGCATCATTAACCTTAGGTTGATTTAAACCCTCATCAATTAGTCGGTTTAAAGCATTGTGAACTAACTTGGTTTCTGGACGCTTAACAGGATCGTTATCCCAACATTCCTTGTAAAGTTCAATATATTGATATGGTGTACCTTCTATAGGTTTTTCTCTATTTCCAGATACAGTTTGAATAGCAAGCGAAAATGGTGAATCAATGGATCGGAATGGTGGTATTCCGCTTGAAATTTCCCAAAGAATTACTCCTAAGCTATAGACGTCAGATTTCTTATCACGTTTGTACTTGTTATCGCGAATATAATTAGGATCGACATATGCTGCCATTCCAAAAGCTGAATTTGAAGTCGCAGAAGCCTCGTTTATGTGTTTTGATAATCCAAAATCAGCGATCTTTGGTCGTCTTTGATGAATTAAGATGTTGTTCGAATGCTATTATGTATATTAGAAAATTAATTTATTGAACTAAAATTCATAATATAATATAAAAATAATATACTTACGAGATCTCTATGAATAATATCATTTTTGTGTAAGAACAAAATGCCATGGGCTATTTCTTCAGAAATGCGTAATTTATCAGTCCATTGTAATGTTGAGAAATTTGCTTTTAGATATTCTCGTAAATTTCCGTTATTAGCGTGTTGTAAAACCATATTATAATATC